TTCTGTCAACAAATTGTAAGTTTCAGTGGCAGATTTTCCAAGTTTTGTGAGGAATTTGATGTTAGCACGTTGTTCTGCATTAGCACTCAGCATTATTCCGACGGAGCTCAGAAACACGATCCGCTTCTAACAATGGTCGCGGCCAGACTAACCGATGCACGTGAATGAAACTTTGTGTGACGGTAGAGGGAAGTCCAAGGGTCAATGCCCTACCCTCCTCTTCGTCAATGACGTGGCCGGAAATGAGTCATAAAAGTAATCCGGGTTCTTTATTGCCACACCTTGTATATCACCATTTTCATGCTCCATCAGAGAAATATTTTTGTTCCATAAGAACTGAAGTTAACTCACTTGTAACAAACCCAGAGAACATCCAGTTTATCCATCCTCCAATGACAATCATGGGTATCACATTTGTAACATTCCCTTTCAACATGTCTGTCATCATACTTGGGTCTGTCATCGGGTTCTGATTAACAGCTGCACGTTTTTGGGTCTTAAAATAACCCGCTTCTTCATTATTGAAGAACTGACGTCTCATTAGAAATGAATGTTTTGGAATGTACTTCCCATGCTCCCTCAAACAGCGAGACCTGATTATAACTTGACTGAAAAGTAATGGAAGGCATCTTAGATTAGTTCTCAACCCTCTGCATGCCATATGCTGATTACGTAAGTATGGCATACTTATATCAGGAGCCGGGATTGTGTAGTTGGCACAGAGACTGGCTATGGGCTGAATGACTAAGGCGGTGGAGTTCAAGACACAGTAGGTTCAAGAATTTTCTCTTCTCAAAGTTGTCCAGACTGGCTCTGGGGTCCACCCTACCTCCTATCCAATGGGTACCGAGGGCTCTTTCCTCGGAGGGTAAAGCAGCCGGGGTGTGAAACTGACCACTCACCTCCAGCTAGTGCTGGGGTCAACAAAATGTGGTTCTATATATCCACTCACCCCATACGCCTTCATGGTGTAGTACTTAATTAGTTAAGCACAGGGACAAAATTTACCTTTATGGCATACTTATATAACAACTGCCATAGTGAATATGAGCTCAATGTTAATTGTACAGCACAGATTTTCTGTCAACAGACAGCATTATTGTCATGATGAAAACAGATATTCAAGTGTTTTTAAAGTTACACGAGGGGGAGTCTGGGGTGGAACAATGGTTACATACAATTGGGAGCAGACTTTTCTTCCTACCCCACTTAATGTAGAATGTATAGGAACACGTTCTGAAACAAAATTTCATAATGTGTTATTTAGCAATGCTGCTATCAGCTACTCAAGTTGCAAGGATTATTGACATTTGCCTACCACTCGGCGCTACAGCCCTGGGTGAGCCTTGGCCTCCTCTACAACCAGTCTCCAAAACCAATGCATCCTGCCATAGGGATGATGACCCGAGGCTGGTTGTTAGGTTTCTGAAAATTCTTTTTACAGGATGAGGTTGTTAGCTTCTTACGCAACCCTCAACCTGGAGGACAAGTGTATCTCTCTTAGTCTGGACTGTACCCTTTGACCTTTCCAGTATGGGTGACCATACAGGTAGTTAAACTACTGCCGGCATAGCTCTCCGGGTCACAGAGTCACACAAGCCCCACCACTACAATAAGGATGAGAAACCTTTGGGAGATTATTGACATTTAGTGACTGCAAATGAAGAACTGGGGTTTGATGAAATGACTGTAGGTTTGCCATCTTTCTGCAACTGTCAAGATTAGGTCTTACAAACACCTAAACTTTAGGTAATTTCTAAATTTTGGCAACAGTAAAGATTAGATCAAATATTTCCAAACCACATTAACTTTTAATACACAAAGTATATGAGAGAGTTAATAGTTTCATGGTAAAAAATTAAGAGGTCCTTCTCCTTGCCTAATTAAGCACCGTGCCAGGACCATGTATGATGGAGTGGTCAGCTTCATGCCCTGATCATTTTACCCCTGGGGAAAGAGTCCCTCAGTACCCACTGGAGAGGAAGCTGGATGGGCCCTAGAGTTGGTCTGGACATTGCAGAGAAAAAAAAATCTTTTGGCCCTGCCATGAATTGAACCCTGCAGCCTGTCACTATACCAACTGAGGTATATTGGCTCCTAGTTTCATAGTAGAATGTATAATATTCCTCATATGCTGCATTTAAATCTGACAAAATTAATATACTTCTCTTATTACTGAAGATTAGCTACGCTTGCTACCTGCTTCACGCAGGTTTCTTGGTTGGCTTGTTCTTCGTCACTAAGGATGGAGTCAACATGTTCCTCCAAAACGCAGACTGACTTTCAACGGGCTACACAGTGTTATATTTCAGGAAACAGAGCTCTTAAACACGTTATGTAACATAAAATGTTATAAATGTCTCCACACAAATTATTAATATTGTTACATATAAGTATTTTTTTTTGTAAATACATACGTAGAGTAAAACAAACAAATAATAACTAAAGAAATATATCTACAGCCAACACTGTGTATTTTAAAACGCGATCTGTGCTAATTCCGAATAACGACCCACAAATTCTATCAATGTAATGTAATGTTCACACATCAGCTAGTATTCATCTCTCTTGTGCGCCAACTTCTGGTCTCATTACTGGAGCTAGGAAAACCACTAATGTTATTTCTGAAAATTTTGGAACAAATACAATAAAATCACACTTACTCCCATATTATACGTACATATTTAAGAAGAAACCTAAATCCTAACCTAAATTATCTACCCCAATACCTGTCTTGTACTTGCTGTAGCTCCACTTTCTTCTGGGACGAGAGCAAAATCGACACATAATGCCTCACTACCCCAACTAAAAATGTTATAACAACTATGGGCAGAAATACCCAAAATCTGATGTCGGAATCTAACAATAATTCAGCCATAACCCCTAACTACACAACAGATTGAAATTACCAATCAGCCTAACGCAACTCTACGTCATTGCCTGACACGAAACGGCTTTATGCTGCCATCTATGAGCGGCGTTAAGCATACCGCTACACAATAGCAACCCTCGCGTTAAGTAAACGTTGTTCCCCAATTTCTAGAAACATGGGCCCACATACCTACTGGGAACATCGATATGTTGCTTGCGGCTGTGGACCGGCACAGACATTAGTGGGCTATTGGGTTTCAGAAATATGCATATCCTGGTAGTTGACCTGAATGCAAAGCACCCACAGAAATACTGGGGTTTTGGACTTTTTCCATCGTCCGGAATTCTAGGTAATAGACACGTTTCGGAAACAGGAAATTTTTCGTCTTCAGGTGCGAAAGGAATACACCTACTCAGCTGGGCACCTTAGAAAGGGCTAATCTGAATTCCAGAATTCTGGACGATGGAAAAGACCAAACCCCCCCAGTAATTCTGTCATCCTCATTGTCAGAACCCTTTAGAATCTGCAAAGCACTCAGTTTGGAATAGTGAAGTTTCAAACCCATCGGGCAAGAGGTTCTTGGAATTGCTAGTTCTAGCTTCAACATCTCTACTGCACAGTTCTACAAATTACATTCCTGATGGGAAGGGTGATGTTCTTGATACTGTGGTCCATCAGAACATCAAACTGTCAGAGGGCATTGTCACTAACGTCACTAACATCATTGACTCAGATTGCCTTCCAATTACATTTACCATTCTGGGTCATGTTTTGAGTGAGGGAAGTTTCAGATCAAGTTAAGAAATTCTCAAATTCTCGCCTAAATTGTGTACTAAAGCGCAAGAAAAAAATGTTTAGAAAATTGTGGCAACAAAACAGAGATACAAAATGCAAAATGGCAATACACCAATATGCTGTGACTGCTTAACAGAGTAAATACGCTTGAAACATGAGATATTTAATATACAGCAGCTGGGGCCCCACTGGCAACCATGTATATCCAGGACATCTAATTACCGTATTTACGCGTGTATAGGCCGCAGCACAATTTTCAGACAGAAATTATAGAAAAAATAATTTTCTTGGAATATTATTTCAGGAGTATTACACACTGTATTACTAATTATGAATATAATTTTTTTTTTAAATGAAGTGTGATTTCGAATATAAGCCACACCCCAGTTTTTCTCTTGAATTTTTGGCAAAAAATGTGCGGCCTATACATGCGTAAATACGGTAGTTACAAGTATACAAACTCCTTTCCTGCTGCAAACCATCATTGGAGCATGCTTGGTTATGGGCCACACGTCCCCTCCCTCACACACAGAAATAATACCAAAGATGTATGGTCACAACACCCATGCCTGCAGTGGTGGACAACAAGCAGATCTAAAACAGAATTTCAAAATAAAAGCCGGGATGTAATGTAACCAATATTACCCAATGAGAAGTAAAGCTGTATATACTATATTTCAACTTCAGAGAACAAGGACTTCCCAACTAAAGTCCAAATCAGAAGTGGTCAACCTCCTCAGACATGTGTCATCAGGTCATTTAACCTGATTACTGTTCAGTGTTTGGCAAACCATCACATTTGGGACTGCACATAATGTCTGGAGGGAACAAAAAAACAAAAAAAGCCAAAGAAAAGGGGAAAAGTCTCTGGAAATTGTTACAAGGATGCAAGTGTATCTAAGGTGGAATGCTTGGTTCAATGTTGCATGGATTCTAAAAACCAGACAAAGTAGCAAAAAACTTACCAAGATCTCTCTATCAACAGCACAATATATCATGGTGCAGTAGTAGCTATCCTGTCTCTATATGACAAGTACTGATTTTGAATTTGAGCCAAAAGACTCGCTGTGTCTATAAATTTTCCTGTTTTCCACAGGTCTTGTACCACTGCCAGTATTCTTATTAAGTATATGTATAATAAGCATGATTGAATGTAACTTACATCACATTTACAGTAAGAACACCACCTGGCTTTTATTATTTATTTGTACGATGAATTGCAAAATTGAGAGAAATTGGCAATACATAAACATTTGGAACATCCGTATTATGAAGTACTCAAATAGGATCGTAGGACTTTCACTTCTTGAATCACATCACTTGAACTTGAACTAACTGGAAGTGTTTCAGAGTGTTTCTCCAAATGATCATATATCATGTCGTTTTCTGGAAAATCATGAGGTCTTCTTGGTAGTACATGGATATGCAGTTGCTGTAAACAAAATTATCTCCTTTAAAGGTGGTAGCTATACATTATGTGAACTATCCCTTGTCCTGTTTACAGCTAAGTGTCTCATCTGTAACTCTGACTACTGTCCTTTCAGTTGATGCCATTAGCAGACACACTATTTACCCCTCCACTAAGTCTGCCCATGGGGCATGGGGATAAATACTTGTAAGATATTTAATCCATATATGAACTGAGTAGCTAAAGCAATGTCATGTAATGTAGCAATAAACTAACAAAACAATAGGATGACACAGTTAATCTCCTCATTTGTATTATTTAACTTCTACTAAATATCGGTTGAGCTATAGTGCTATTTTAACAATGCTGTATCAGCTAATGAGTGTATTTATCATTGAATATGTCATTAAAGAATAATCTTAAAAGTGGTGATGGAGTGGTTGAAAAATGTGAGAACGAAATAAAGTCTGTTTGAATACAGCTCTGTCCATCATCAGTTCTACAGATGCCATACCGCTTCAGTTCATATACTGCAAGACTAACCTCTGGCTCCAAAATATTTGCAATATATACATAAAACCTGAAACTAAAATATTCATATATGGCTGAACTGAATTTCTGCTTACAGAAATGCTTTGACAACCTTTGTCTTGGCCTATTTTGAACTACTGCACACAAGTTCCACCTGGCTGCATTTTGGAATAGGTTCAGAAACAATGGTGTCTTGCAAAACATTTCTTTTGGCAATAAATTTGACATTACTAATGTAAGACCTCAAAATTACTTATGTTCATTATATATGGATAAGTTGGTGGAATAAAGAAAGAATGAAACAGTAAAAAAGGAAATTTCAACAATAAAAGAGGCTGAAGGACAATAACATATAAATAAACATCTAATTTTATACTGACTTACTTTGCCTTCATCTTTAAAGTACACTGTATTTGCAGAAACACTGTAGCATTCTTCAAAGGCACTTTGAACTCTCTCAACAACAGAAAATATATCAAATAATTCTTCACTGTTCAAGCTTGACAGTCTTGATACATGACGTAAAGGCATCACCAATACATCTAAATTTTTAGTTAAGAAGTATATGGATTTAGATCTAATAAAATTATTTATGAGTCAATTCTCCTGTACATTTCAAAATGTTCCTACATTTCTTTACTCAAAAGGGACTAGTATGTTTATGGTCTAAAATAAACGCCAGTGCACACTCTGAAACCTGACATCTGTACTGGAAAAGGTATATATTAAGATCTGTTAACAAATCTGGACAAGTTAATACAGCAATTAAAAACGTACGGCAGTAGACAGATCGAGGGTTATGGACCCTAAATGAATCAGTTAGTTGGAAAAAGACATATGCACAATGGCTGAAATGGAGACATGATTTCTTTTCAACTAAATGTTTACTTTGTAAGATTTGAGGCTTTCACGGCGGTGACTATGAAGAAAGCAGTCTTCTGGCATTTGGCACCGTGTATATGATATACACGGTGCCAAATCCCAGAAGACTGCTTTCTTAAAATGTTTACTTTGTTAATCCAAAACTGACATGGTCCATCTCCATAAAATGGACATTTCAGTGAATCAATCCATGTAATTAGAAGATAAAAATGATATCTGCACAGTATCCCACGCTTAACACACAAAAATACAGTGTATGAAGCTTATTTAAATAAAAAGGCCTCACAGTATCAGGATACAGTGAATTTAAATGATGTGGCACAGGTTACAGACTGACAAAAATGCAGAGATAGAACAATATACAGCACAGATTCATATTATCTCCAACAATTCGTCTACTGAAGTTCAGAGATGAGCCAATCCTTGGTAGGGTGTAAACTGTACAATTCCAAAATATGAAGCATCNTCAACACATTATCAAAAAAGGATACGCCCAGGAACAATACTGTTTTGGCTTATAAATGCAACAGTATTTGTTGTTTTGCAGATAAGATTATCTGAATTCAGAACTGCATTACCAAATGTGTATGCCTGTTGATCTTCAAGCAATTTTTTTGGCTTTAATGTTCTATACAGGTCATTCCGACGATGCTGCCAAATAGGCATTGACGTTCGTATATTCTGGATGTAATCTAGATTGAGTTCAGCTGTTGCGATGTTTGTGTTTTCTGAGCACTGTGCAACTACATTCCCACACGGATCCACAACCTTAAAAAAAATTACATTCATTTGTGCATATGCCAATTATATAAAATCAAGTACGTGGAAGTCAATTTCCAGTTTCGGAATTAGATAATAATAAACACTCAGTATTTCACATCTCTCACAAGTTCAAATGACAACTGCTGTATAAATTCACTGGTCATACATATGCACGCACACACATACACAAAGCAAGGTGATCTCATATGGATACATTAATTTCTTTTAAAAAATAAGAAAAGTAGGCTAAAAATACAGAAGCATTATCAAACACTACTATGGACAGTGGTCTGGAGGTAAACAAAGAGAAAACTAAGTACGTGTTTTTGTCTTGTCACTGTCAGCATATATGTCAAAATTTTAACTTACAGACAGCTACTGAATCCTTTGAAAACATGGCAGAATTTGAAAATTTGGGAATGACACTGCTTTTTATGTCTTCATGAATAAATTATATTTGGGAATGCTTGCTGTCATTTAATTCAGAATGTTTATCTCCTCATCTGCTATCCAAGGACATAAAAGTTAAAGAATGCAGTAAACCATTCTGTATGAGTGTGCAACTTGACCCCTCATATTAAATGAAGAAAACTGGCTGAGTACCTTGGAAACAAGAATGCTGAAAATAATATTTAAATGTAAAAGGGAGGAAGCACTAAGAGTTTGGAGAGAAGTTTCATATTTTTTAACTCCTCAGCGGACATTATTAGAAGATCTAGGAACAGATGGATTAATATTAAAATGTATCTTAAAATAAAGGAGTATGAGGACCTAGTTGATTTGGTTTAGGATATGGATCAATGATGGGCTCTTGTAGACATGATAACAAACCTTCAGGTTCCATATTATGCAAGGAATTTGTTGACCAGCAGAGGATTCTGCTCCAAGGAGTTAGTTAAAATAAACATGTAATGCATTTCAGATCTGGATCACAATTTTACATACCACATAACTGTTTGTTGAATTTAATCCAATTTAATACTCATCAGTGACCGCCTCTGAGGTCTCGTGGTCAGTTCCTGGCTACAGATCCAGAGGTCTGGGTTCGATGACTGGCGCTATCAGATTGTTTCCGAGAAGTAGTGGGTCTGGAATGGGGTCCACTCAGCCTCATGATGATAATTGAGGAGCGATTTCAAGGAAATAGCGGCTCCGTTCCAGAAAACCGATATTAACGGCCGTAGGGATTCGTTGCGGTGACCATGTGCTAAAGTTGGCACTAACTTCGTCGACAAGCGGCGGTCGCTCAGTCAGTATAGTTCACTTGTGGGCTAAAACCATGGAGTTTGTTTTTTGTTTTTTTTTAATACTTGTCAGTAAAATAATCTGTACTTTAATATCTGTATAAGTTGTTAGTTACTACATACCATTGCATGCCCCCAAGAAGTCCTCTTGTTGTTGTGTGCTCCAGTCTGTGCCGCAGCGATAACATAACACTGACTTTCAATGGCCCTAGCTCGAAGAAGTGTTTCCCAGTGTGCTGCACCCGTAACATATGTGAAAGCTGACGGAAATGTTAAAATATCTGCACCCATTTTAGCTAAGGTTAAATTTAGCTCTGGAAAACGAATATCATAGCACTGATGAATAGTTAAGATAAACATCTAGCATTTGTTCATGTTAATATATTTATCAACTGAAATATCCAATTCAATGGGGGAGAAGAGGAATGCATATAGGGTATTGGTGGGAAAGTCAGATGGAAAGAGACCACTGGGAAGACCAAGGTGTAGGCAGGTGGATAATATTAAAATGGATCTTAGAGAGATAGGATGGGATGGTATTGACTGGATTGATCTGGCTCAGGATAGCGACCAGTGGAGGGCTCTTGTGAACATGGTAATGAACCTTTGGGTTCCATAAAATACTGGGAAGTTCTTGAGTAGCTGCATGTTTGGAGGCTTCTTAACTCTTTGACTGGCGCAGGCGTGTTTTAACGCCCGGACGAAGCCAGCCGTTCCCTGGCGTTGGCGTGTTTTAACGCTTTGACAATCTCTTCCCTTCTTTGTTCTCTTGGCACTCATCAACCAAAGACATATATATGATAGTTTTTTGTGCATGTTTGTAAAGAACCCTTGTAAACTTTGTGGGGGTCTATATTACTGTCAGAACCCTCTGAGAAGGAAAAGGTCAGAAAATATTTCACATTCATTCAATTTCACCATGGCTTCTTGCAGCTAGTGTCTTCGTGTTCCTACAGACCAGCTGGAAAATGTTGTGAACGAGATTTGTTCTGATGATGATAGTGGCGATGAAATAATGATTCTTGAATTGGATGGAGTTGATAGTGACAATAATACAGTGACAGACAATGATCCACAAGACAGTAATCATGAACATTTACCTACCACGAGTGCGGTGCCTGACACGCCCATCTCATGAACGTACGGAGACACTGTACCCCCAATATTTCCATTTGCTAATAGTTTCGGGATCAAAAGTGATATAACACATAAAATNGAAAAGAAACAAGTATCATGTGTGCAGGCTGTGGTGTGGCTCTCTGCACACTTTCATGTTTCAATTTTTGTCACACGAAGAAAAACTAATAAAGAGGTATGGAAAGGCATTTAATGCATAAAACATTGTATTTTAATTAGTTCCTAAAAATTTCGTTTTTAAAAACCAATTTGTGTTGAAGTTGTTTAGGAAAAACTAACTACATGCATTTTAGCGACATAAGGTTTAAAGGGCCTGCCAGGACAGGGGTGGGATTTAAATACCCTTCGCGCCAGTCAAAGAGTTAAGAAGGGCTCAGCTCCACGAGTGAGTGAGTATCCAATTCAAGGGCTAGATACATACACAATGTTCTGCATCAATTTATAATTTGTCAAGGATATTAAATATAATAAATAATAGACATTTCAACGTATAAACATTTTTAATTATTCTCAATGGTCAACTGCTTTTGTTGTCCCCTGCTTGTCTTGATTTTGGGATCCCTTACCAATCACTCTATAAAAATAAGTGGCCAGAGCTACAGAAGAAAGCTTTCTATATGTCCTCACTTCCCTATCAATCTCTGTCACTGTGTTTATTGGTAGATGAATAATAAAAAAAGTTGCCCCCGTGCTTAATTTAAGTACTATGCCATGAAGGTATATGGGGCAGTAGATGTATAGATCCACGCTTTCTTGACCTTGGTACTAATTGAAGATGAGACGTCAGCTTCTCGCCCCAGCCGCTTTACCCCCGTGGAAAGAGTCCCCAGTACCCATTGCACACACAGCTGGGTGGGCCCCAAAACAGGTCTGGACATTGCAGTGAAGAGAAAATGTCTCTCTTTCAAGTCACAAGTTGAGATATGCTCACTTTGTGAGTGCTATGACTATAGGCTGATGGCCAAATCATCTTTTGGCTGATGGCTACACATTTGCACATAGGCATTTCTAGTACTAACCTAAATAATGGAAATAAATCCTGCTGATATAGTATTATTTCTGTACAGTACTATCCTAAAGTGACGTATAACTGTGGGAACTGTGGTAAGACTCAGAGAGTTAAGGACTCGGATGGAATTTTTTAAACTATAAACTCTCAAATATCTGCAGTAATGCAGAAAAGTAGTGTGGATAATTAAAAATGGTGGATAATCCAAAAATCTGGAAATACCACGCTATCTATGTAGAATATAATTTACATATTACTTATTCACAGTACTGCTGGTGTCAAAACAGTGAGACAAATTACATACCTTTTCAATACAAGGAACAAGCCTTGTTAGGTGGTACTATAATGTTGTGAAAACTGATGAAATAATAAACCAGAGAATTACAACAGGATGAAAGATCTGGTTGTACATTCTGCTATAAATCATTTCAAGTACACCTGATACAGGTGTAACAGACAATACTTAAATCATTAAGCTACTATCACTAAGGGGTTCTACGGTTAAAAGCCCAAACATGTAGCTAAGGTTATGTTGACTTTGACCGTTGTTGTGTTATGACGGATTCCAATAAAGAATTGTATAAATCTGCATATGCATAATACTCTACTACAGAAGGGTTTCAGAAACTGAAGGAAGCATTTAAAAGTATAAAGATAATCAAATCACTTACTGTACTTCTTAAACGGGGCACTATATACACAACTTTTTGAATGAGGCAAACATACCAAGTACAAATGACAACTTACATAAATACAAGCATTAAATTGCAAAGACTTCATAGACCATATCACAGTAATGGGCAGACATATTAAGTACATCAGTTTCTAAATCCTGTAGGAAGGTTAACAACATTAAAGTCTCCTACTAAATTAAACTGGCTTAAGATGTTTACGTGGCCACACTTTGGCCAGACATGTGATTGACAGAAAACTTACATAGCACATGCAGTAATTTTCACACTCCCTTGTATAAGTATTCATATGCACATACAACATTTCACACAAGCAAATCATAAAAGGATACAACTGAAAGTCCCAGATTTCCAACAGGTGTTTTAATAGGAGGAGGTATCATTTGGCCAGGAAGAACATAATCAGATTCCATCAGTCTGATTCCTTTTTCTGGAATATTTAAGTCAAACAGGTGTGCTTTCCGGTATACAGCAATTATATCACCATTACTATCAATTACAACATGGGAATTATGTACTTTCTCATCGCTCACCTAAAAAAGGTAAAGAAATAAATAATATTCATCTGGTGTAACTCAGTTCATTCTTCTCTACACACATTTTAAAGTGACTGGAAAGCCATTTCCAGACTTTAAACTTTGATAACTAATTCCGTATTGTAGTATCCTGCTACTTAATACTGTGCTCACCATCCACTTCACATAACACTTTGGTGATGCGTTTATAAGTGCATGATTGTATTAATCATTCACAATATTACCACTGTACACCTGCTGTTACTCTGTTTACTTGTACAACATGTTTGAAGTGACCTGCGACTACTTCAGTCTTTTCCTCTGCTGCTGACAAGACAATTGTGACATAATGGCATGTATATCCAAACTTCTACACCTGCAGCAAGATCTGCATAAAGCAAATAAAATAATAAAACTTAAAGATTTCTATTCAAACACTTTTTTTGTTGTTTTATTTTAGTCTACAAATCAGTGCAATACAAAGCTACAAAGACAACTAATACATTTTTCAAGGTAAGTAAACTTCAGTGAATAGATTCAATAGGGACTAGAACAAAACAAACTTATTATGAACAGAAGACCGCCTCTGTAGTCTTCAGATCCAGAGGTCCCGGGTTCGATTCTCGGCGCTATCAGATTTTCTGAGGAGTAGTGGGTCTGGAACGGGGTCCACTCAGCCTCGTGAGGATGACTCAGAAACTACTTGAATGGAAAAGTAGTGGCTCCAGTCTAGAAAACTGAGTTTAACAGCCGTGGAAATCCGGTGCGCTGACCACATGACACCCTGTATCTGCTAAAGTAGGCACTAACTTCGCCGACAAGCAGCTGTCGCTCGGTCAATATAGTTCGCTTGCGGACTACAGTCCACGGAGTTTATTAACAGAAGAAATGATGATGTCAATAGGGATAGCACAGCAAACTTCTGTTTCCTTACTGGTATTTAATGTTCAACTCTGGACACTGATTTTAAATTTAATAGGGTGAGATACCACATCACAAAGTTGACACCAATCTGCTTCAATCATAACTTACTTGCTCATGTATACCTCCCAAGGACAACCAAATATCATTTTCTTTTGCAAGATTGCAAAACGTTTTCATTAAATCTCCACTTAAAGGTTGTGCCATTGCCAAGGTTTCTGCTTTCGACTCGCCAATATAATCACACGCTTCCGGCAAGAAAACCATCTGAAATACCGAAACAGAAGTTGAATATTTTAAGGGTGTTCATCTGGCAGAACAAGCCTGAACTGTGTTCGGAAACCACTTTCCATGTCAAGGAATGAAAAGCCAATTTATATATACTTAGTGACTGGTATTTAATTACTGCATAAATTAATGAATGAATACACTTTTGTTTTATAAACTTTATTACAGCTTTCATTTAAAGATATTTGAATAAACTTAACTAGTTTCATGGGTTCCACCCAAATACAATGAAAATATTGTACAATACTTCCCTCCTAACTGGATCAAAGGCTCTCTTACCATCTATAAATAGCTGATGTGCTGTATCTTTGTACTCCCATTCTTTTCTCCACTATCTGACAAATGCAAAAGTCTAATTAGTAGTTGATCTGTTACACCTAAACCCACACTGGTGATCTTCGATAATTGCATATATGTACAGATCTAACCTTGAGTGAAGATTATCGAATACAATCTTGTATGAAGTTTATAACAGTGACACGTCTGAATAATTACTAGTCATTTTTATTACCCTTCTTGTAAACTGGTAAAATAAAAGACTCTTATATTCTCTTTGGCTGAAATTATTATACTGCCTCTAACAGTTTCCCATGTTCCATTAATATCCACATAATCACCTAAGTTTTCCAAAGTTGCACACCTGTTTTGAGATTTCAAGTCATGTGGGATTTGTGGTGGAAAAATGGAACTAGGGCAAGTTTTCTCAGAGTACTTTGGCTTCCTTGCCAATTTGCATCCCACCTAATGCTCCATTTTCATCTATCATTCAGGGCTGGCACAATAGGTCAGTCAGTGGCCAACATACCAAGAGGAATCAATCTCACCTCACTCCACAAAACACAGTACATGCTCTACTATTCTGTGACCCCTCTGTGCAGTTGGCAGCAGTGCTGTCACTACATTTCATTCAACCCTTGTTTGACAGTTACAGTCGCTACCACTGCTGCTGCTTGCTACTAAAACCTTAAGTTCTGCCTCAGAACTACAGAATTGAATGTTACAGGTGTGTCGGGAGAAGAGTGCCAGTGTTCTACACACTCAAGCAAATCAAACTTTTGCAGAACTGCAGGATTTCATCTCCACATATAATAGTCTGTATATAGTATGAATGATGATGTAATATTGGATCTTTTAAATGGTGCACCAGTATATTTCCCCAAAATCACTATGTCTTTGATTTATTAAAGGTAATGCCATGTCCAAATGCAACTCACAGTCCTCTTCCTTCTAGTTATGTAACAAATGGGCACACTGGTATCTAGTATTAAAGGAAAAGAAAGCAAGGGGCATTGAAAAATCTTTCAATCACTTTATATTTACAGAGTATTATGCTACAAAGGATGCACCATAGCTCAAGCGGTTAGTCGCTGGCTTCACACTGTGGCGGTCCGGGTTCGATCCCGGGTATGGTCACGTGGGATTTGTGGTGGATGAAGTGGCGCTGGGGTGGGTCTTCTCCGAGTACTTCGGTTTCCCCTGACAACCTTCTTTTCACTAAATTATCCATCATCATAATCACCTAGGGCAGGCTACAATAGGCCAATCGATGGCCACCATGCTGAGTGGACCCAGTTGGGCTCCACCCCCCACTAAGCAAATTAAAGAAAAATGCTACAAGCCAGAAGGTCGCGGGTTCAAGTCCTGATGAGGTCATTGGATTTTTTCAATAGACCTAATCCTTCCAGCCGCACTATGGCCCTGGGGTCGACTCAGCCTCTAACAGAAATAAGTACCAGGAATTAATTAAATAATTTTCCTGGGGAGTAAAGCGCGGCCAGCAGGTAAGGCTGACCTTACTGCCATCTTTGAACTGAGTGTGTAGAAAATGTGGGACCCTCAACATGTCATAACCTTATGGGCCTTCACGGCCCGTTACAGGGATAGCTTTATTTTTATTCCGTGACTGGTGATCCTATCATAACAATTAAACAGACATATTATTAACACGTGAGCACAGTGAAGATATAATCTGAACATAGGTGTCCAAATGAGCTACCTTTTCCCTATAACATGACCACCAGAAGCTTCAGACAGAATAAACACACTAAATAACAATTATACCATACCATGCAATTGCTTTCCTTTGCGGATTTAATCAATTCTGAACAAGTTCTCATATTTTTCTCTTTATTGTTTGTTGCTGTCATCTGACAAACAGCAATAATTCTCTTCCTGACAGATGAAGATGCCATTGTATTCTTCGATCCAAAGATCTGCTCTAGCGGATTCCTCTTTGGCGAGGTACATCCACAGTGTTTTGTAAATTTCTTATGTTTGAACAAGCAGATTCTGCTTAAAATCTGTAATACAATGTAAAAGTAAATAAATGTAAATGATTACAACGCACGCAGCCAAAAAAGGACACATCACAAGACACAGTATACACAAAATATAGGAAGAACGACTCCCATAGCGGAAGAATGATACAATACGCGAGTCTGAAATAAGACGTATAAGATGATAAATCTTAACAAATTTTAATACATATAAATTTTGTTGTGGTGCATGAGGAATATACATTTTAAATCATTTTATAAACGACACATGGCGAGCAGTGCAATAGTTTAACATAAATAACACACCTGAGGATGGCACAATAATGCCGAAACATGTAGTAAAGTGACATGTGAGATGGTGTGCACTAGAAGACGGTCAATACATACATATCATGGACGAAATGTAAGCAAATTCTTTATTCTCAGCTTGGCTTTAATTTCTTTTTAAAATGCTCAGAATATATCACCCTCTCTCTCTCTCTCTCCCCCCCTCGATCACATGCACACACACTTCATGGAGCGGAGTCTTTCTTGAGAACCCGCCAATTGTGCAGCTACTCAAGAACTTCCCAGCATTTTATGAAACCAGAAGGTTCATTACACTGTTCACAAGAGCCCACCACTGGTCCCTATCCTGAGCCACATCAATCCAATCCATCCCATTATACTTCTCTAATATATATTTTAATATTGTCCATCCACCTATGTCTTGGTCATCCTAGTGGTCTCTTTCCTTCTGGCTTTACCACAGATATCCTATATGCATTCCTCCTCTCCCCCCATTTGTGCTACATGACCTGCCCACCTCATCTTCCTTGACTTTATAATTCTAATAATACTTGGGGAAGAGTACAAGTTATGAAGCTCCTCATTATGCAGTTTTCTCCAACCTCTTGTCACTTCATCTTTCTTCGGTCCAAATATTCTCCTCAACACCCTATTCTGAAACACCCTCAGTGTATGTTCCTCCCTTAATGTCTGAGACCAAGTTTCACACCCATACAGAACCACAGGAAAAAATAGTTTTGTATATTCTAATTTTTGTTTTTAGACAGCAGGTGAGAAAACAAAAAAGGTTCTGTGGTGAATGGTAACAAGCATTACCCAAGTTCAGTCTCCTGTTATTTTCCTCCTGAATCAGGTTCTGATTTGTTATAATAATTCCAAAATATCTGAACTGTGCCATATTTTCAAAACATCTGTTAGCTATCTATATGTCATGATTCTGTCCTGCATTCTGGCGACGAGGCAGCAACATATACTTAGTTCTCTCTGTGTTTACTTCTAGACCAACCTCCTTGCTACTGTCAATTAAAGTCTCTTGTGTCTATCTTTATGGTATTTATATTATTACCCAGTAGATTCACATAATCTGCATGGACCAGTTCACATGTCCCATTAAATTTCAGTCCCACCTGGTTTTCCTGGACCTTTTTACTGGCATATTCTAAAGAAAATTTTATCATTCTGGATAGGAAAATTATCTGACAAATGTTTAAATATATCGACTTTATTATACATTTCGCTTAAACACGTTTTAATCAGCCTAATTAGTTTCATGGGCACATCAAACACTATCAGAATATTGTTTCAGCTGGCAAACAATTGCTTGAAGATGGCCTTGTAAGGCTGATGCATGTTGCAATTTAATGTGACTTTAATGGCAGTTTTTAAATAAAGAAGAGACTGTGAATGATTCTGGGTACAATTAGAAACAGAAATGAGTGACATACCAATGCAACAGGATTCTGAAATATAATACTATGTCAGGATAAACAGTAGTAGTTTATGTTTCTGTAGTTTTACTGAATACAAAACTGTGAGAAAGTTGAGTCTCATAGTCTCAGCTTCTAAATGGTACAATAACATGGCACGTGGAATCTGTTGGACCCTAGTACCACATAACTAAAAATTCTAAGATGTACACAAAACTGTGAACGTTCTGCATAATAAATTTAATCTAACTGATAATTTATTTAACATCCATAACTGTTACACAGGTGTAACTGAACAATGTGGTCTTCATTATTCATGTGCTACTGGAATGGGAAGAAAGAAAAAATCATGAAATCACATTAAGCAGACAATGTTTAATAGGAATGTCATGTTAAGATATTTAACAGTTCCTTAAACTTACAAACACGAAAACCACACGAGTTCTGGAGATGAAATCCGATTGTACAAACAGGTTAATTCTACTATAGGTAATGGCGTTAAATAAATTATATTCGTCTGTTTATAATTAGACTGTTCTTGATGCAGTTTTGATTTTGTTAAATTGTAGCGTTCATCTGTACGAAAATGTAGCTATGGCGGTTAGTTGCCGGCTTCCCAGAGCCGCATTCCGGGTTAGATCCCTGGTCAGATCATGTGGGATTTATACCGGACAAAGGAGCACGGGAATTGGCGTTCTTCGCATACATCAGCTCCCTTCCAACTGTCATTTCATCAACTGCTCCAAATTCATTAATGACACTATCAACAACGGTCTGTAGTCTCAATTCTAATACCACCATTAACTTCAGAGCTTACAAAATAACCATTTCTTTGCGAACGATACACCAATGACGGACAAAATCGAACATAACCGCCACTACAATCCACGTGCTAAGAAAGGCAAATCGTTAGCGCCATAGAATAATTACTACACATTACCATCACACAGACGTGAGCAGTGCACAACTGTAATTACAACGTAAATTACAACGTACACTATATATGAAACATAACAAACATTGTCAACAACATAAAACCACTTCCACACGGATCACACGGTTGGCGAAACGACACTCCCTGACACAGGAGAGCCAAGGATCGCCAAGGATCACCTAGGCGACCTAAGCATTACCTCACTAGAACTGACGATAAATTCGTATTGCTGAGCTAGTTCTTCCACCAGAATAGCACACAACGGTGTCAGCAGTTTATTTTACACCAAAGTATTGTTGACTTAAAATTGCTGGACTATAAAGTGAAGAAATATCAACATAAATTATACGATTATTTAGTTCAAAATGCTTCGTACATTGCCTTTGTAGTTTCTTGACGTTATATAATCTATGTACCGTAGGATGATTTGGATTACGGTTAATTAGGGCACTGGGAGGCTATGGTGGCTTAATTTAACTTAATATCCCAGCACTCACCTGAAATGAATGAGAACTACGAAAACTGTGGGTGGCAGCCAGTACAGTGTTGATGATACAAATATGCGGTGCAAACCTTAAACAAATCCTTTCAAAATCTTGACTGGATGACTAATAAAGTCACAGGATGATAACAGCCGGAAGTATACCACAGGTTCAGAAAAGGCAGATCAATAACAAAACACTACTACTGCCAGGATGAAAACTACAGAAAGGTCTCATGGCCTGCTGCAGACATCGAGGGCCGCCGAGACCAATCCAGCTGAAGAAAGACATCCGCACACATGCTTCCTGGGAACTATTTCAGCGCGCGACCAGAACGGCGGCGCAATTGATAAGACCGCAGATGAATAAATCTTAAACAAATATCGCCCAAATCGAGATGAATGTCTGGCACACGTTACAATAAGGACTTCACTTACACATGAAAGTATATAACAGAGTTGTAAACGTAAAAAGATATTCATAACCATGAAACTATATGGTGTCACATCCCAGATCACAATCTGAACCTCAAATCTCACCATATTTATACATTTACACGTCATACTTCGTGTTTAGAGCCTAGCACTAAGTATTTTCAAATCCAATGATTCTTGAAAACAGAATTCATTCATCAGTAATCTGTCAAGATGACAGGTCAACGGTCTCTTCCAAAACAGTTCCTCCACTTAATGCGATCTAGAGCTTTCTCCTTCAAATGAGAATATCCTCTTGTGTCCCCAAGATCATCGAGCATCTTCTTACGTCTTCTGGTCACTTCTGTCCTCCCCTCTATCATTCCTTCAGTAACTTCTTTTAGAAGGCAGTTATCTCGTAAGATGTGACCAATCCAATTGGCCTTCTGTTTTCTTATTTCATGTAGGATATTCCTCTCTTCACTGACTCTAAATAACACTTCTTCATTTCTCACATAATCGGTCCAACTGATCTTCTCCGCCCTTCTCCAACACCACATTTCGAAGCTTTCCAGGTGTTTCTGATCTACTGTCCTAAGTGTCCAAATTTCAGCCCCATACAAAGCAATGCTCCAAATGTAGCATTTCACTAGTTTCTTTCTCAAATTTAAGTCCAATTTGCTGGTAAAAAGATTCTTCTTGCTAAATGCAGCTTTTGCCATGGCAATCCTAGATTTAATTTCACACGTACACCTTCCATCATCTGTTAACAAGCTACCCAAATATTTAAAACATTTCACATTCTCCAGTTGTTTTCGGTCTATCTTTATTGTGACTGGGGTTGGTTGTCTCGAAATTTTCATTACTTTTGTTTTTTCCACATTCATTTCCATGCCATAGCATCTTCCAATTTTAATTAGTCTATCATTCATACCCTGTAGCACAGTTTCTTCCTTAGCCATTAACACAAGGTAATCTGCATATTTCACAGTTTGAATACTTTTCCCTCTTAATTTGAAGTCTCCAAGCCCATCCAGAGCTTCCTTGGTAAGGCATTCACTGTACAAGTTGAACAAAATTGGTGATAAACAGCATCTTTGTCGAACTCCTCTTCCATTCTTCACACTTGTCTCCCCTCTGTCCAGTTGCACTCTAACTTTCTGATCCATGTACAATTTACAAATCAATCTTCTTTCACGCCAATTGATACCTGTTTCCTTTAGGATCTGCATTAATTTGGTCTAATTTACACGGTCAAATGCCTTCTGCCAGTCCATAAAGCAAGCACACAGTTCTTCATCTATCTCCAAAGTTCGTTCTGCTATAATTCTCATCATCTCAATTGCATCCCCGGTTCCTCTTCCTCTTCTAAATCCAAACGGATCCTCTCCAAGTATATTCTCTATTTTCCTTTCAATTCTTCTTTTAAGTATCTTTGCTATCATCTTAGCTGTATGTGCCATAAGGCTTTGAATAGATGAGAAAGAACACAAAAGATGAAAAATTCCTCATGGAGTAACATTATAAAGAACGACCTCAACTGAAGTCTGTCAAAAGTAAATCCTTTATCTGAAAGCAATGAAAATTTGTGAACTCCCAACCACCCCTAAAAGTGATAAGTAGCTGCTGAAAAACTCTAGTTTAAAATACACGGATGCTTCAGAATTAAGAAACTGCTGTGTCAACACATTACACTATCACACTTGGGAAAAGGAATGGCCTTTCTGGATATGTTATATGGGATATTTCATTGGACAAATGAAAAGGTCAGTTTGAATTAGCAAAATGCAGTGTCTTTGAATTGATAATAAAGAACTATATTCATTAAACATATCTAGGCTTTTGTACAATAACAATGTCAGGTATGTTTGATTGCCCTGATTTTATGCCAATTCCATGCATCAACCTTACTTATACAAATAATACGTTCATAAACAGAGTATTTTGTGATGAGGGAGTTTGCCGATGAAACAAGTTTTTATACCCGGATAGTAATTACATGTCAATATTGCTAAACATTCAACTCACTTGACTTAGTTGATCCAAATATCAAAGTGCCATGCCATGTTACCCCCAGTCCACAGTAATACAAATGCTCTATTTACTACAACAATACGAGTCATAGACACCATTATTTACTACCATTTTGATGCTATATGTGAAGCAACAACTTTTGAAAATTCAAATAAAAGGCAATTAAAAATCCACTTTCAGAACCTGGAAATCTCCAAATCTCTTGATATGCATTCATTAAGTATTTGTAGGATCATGGCTTGTAATTAGTGTTTCAGATGACCTACCACGTAAAGTTATAAGAATCCAAAAATATAAGTTACACATCAACTATAAATGCTTATATTTTATGAACTCAGTATTATGTTGTAAGTTACTATGCATGCAAATAAGGGAATAACAGATGTAAGATTTTTCTCCATAACACATACACTTTCATGTTAACTACAAGTGTGAGAAAATATATGTGAGTAAACAGAGTATACAAAAACAACTCAACATCCTGGCTCAAAATGTAGTTGGCTGAATTGTCATTTCGCTGCCAAAATACAGAGCTTAAAACGTTTTCATCATTTACCAAAGTAAAAAGAAAGGGGGGGGGAAGTAAAGCGGTCCCTCTAACAAGCCATGGGGGACCATTGATTTGTGAGATGTTGAGATTCCCACATTTTCTAGACAATCGGCTCACAGATGGCAGTAAGGCTGTTAGCCTTGTGTGTGGGCCATCCTTTACCCCCAGGAAAATACCTGGTACTCACTAGCTAACTAGAAATTTTCACTAACTGTAACATAAACTGTCATGTTAATTCCAAGGAATACTCTATGCACGAGGAAAATTTCTGCAGAAATAAGACCCATAGAAGGTGGTCTTCTGACAGTCTGTGAATCTCCAAAATTGATACAATTTTGAAAGTAGCAACTGTAACCATCGTTCTTGTTACAAATACAAACATCTGTGTATGGATTTTTAACCAACATGTCATAAAAAATTCCTTATTCTAATGTGACTATGCAAATGATATATACCTCTCCCCATATTAAAATAACACAAATTCTGATGCCAGTAATATTAAATTCCATTGTCCACCAACTCTTTTGAGCATTATGACAGAAATGTACTAAAAATGACATCATTAGAATGCAAAATTTCTTATGCAAACTGTTTCAAAGCATGATTCATGATCATGAGTAATATAATGGCCAAGTTATTGTTTGAAAATTTTTTTACAAAAGAACTCCGACATTCAACGAAACCCTCATCATATAAATTTCGTGTATTCAACAGAGAATATACTGATGTGGTAGTTCCATTTTCTTTACAGTTTACAGCCCTGTGACATATTCACTACATATTTAATGGTCTCTTGTATTTTAATACCTCATGCTCTGGTTACAAAGGCAACTCATAGCCCATTAATACAAGAATTGCAATGACTTTTATGGTAAAAGCGGTCATTCAACATACCTCATGTCAGAAACACACAATCACTGACCAGTGTCACCATAATACATTTGCTTGTTAACTGATTCTTGAAGTAACACACATTTTGAAAATGCTAGAAGATATTAACATACTTACTTTAAAAATGTAAGCCATAAATCTGTTAATCCAAGTTCCATTTCTCCTTCTATCACTTCTCTCATAATATCAACAGTTTATTATTATATTTTTAATTTATCTCAGCTGATTTTGTCCTCATCTATTTCTACTTATTATTATCCTTTTTTTTTTTAAATTTGCTTGATGGGGGGTGGAGTCTTACTGGGTCCACTCGGCACGGCGACCATTGATTGGCCTATTGTAGCCTGCCCCAGGTGATTATGATGCAGAATTTGGCAGGGGAAACCGAAATAATCGGAGAAAAACCACCCCAGCGCCACTTTGTCCACCACAAATCCCACTTGACCAGACCCAGGCTGCTGCGGTGGGAAGCCAGTGACTAACCGCTTCAGCTATGGCGCAGCCTATTCCTTTCTCTACAGTAAAATCTGAGGATTTCATAGAACTGCAGATCCATGTAGCATATGGGAAAGAAACTTTATAACACTGCAGATGTACTGGTACCACAACTCATGCCAGTTTGCTTGCATC